CCCGCCCTTATCCCTCCCTTCCCACCCATCCTCCCCAGTCCCTTTCCCTTTGGTAACTGTTAGCCCATTCTTGGGTTCTGTGATTCTGCTGCTGTTTTGTTCCTTCAGTTTTTCTTTGTTCTTATACTCCACATATGAGTGAAATCATTTGATACTTGTCTTTCTCCACCTGGCTTATTTCACTGAGCAGAATACCCTCTAGCTCCATCCATGTTGTTGCAAATGGTAGGATTTGTTTTCTTCTTATGGATGAATAATATTCCATTGTGTATGTATACCACATCATCTTTATCCATTCATCTACTGATGGACACTTAGGTTGCTTCCATTTCTTGGCTATTGTAAATAGTGCTGCCATAAACATAGGGGTGCATCTGTTTTTTTCAAACTGGGCTCCTGCATTCTTAGGGTAAATTCCTAGAAGTGGAATTCCTGGGTCAAATGGTATATATATTTTACGCTTTTTGAGGAACCTCCATACTGCTTTCCACAATGGTTGAACTAATTTACATTCCCACCAGCAGAATACACTGTAATTTTTGAAAAGGTAGGACAACTTCTATTATTTAAGCATAACAGAGAAAGGTTAAAATTTTAGTATTTTGAAATACCATTGAACTTGAAGGACAAGTTCAAAGCCAACTAACTTTTGAAAAGTTACGCTCAGAAAACAGTTTCTATTTAATTTTCTTTAAAATGGAATGGCTGTTCTTGGTGGGACAGGCCCCCATTTGAACCATCATTCAATATGGATCATTTATTGAGCATGTTTTCAGCATTAGGTGAATTATGAGCTGAATCAGATGTAGTCTGTCTCTATCTCACTACCCCCAAATCATCAGGTGAGGAGGCTGCAAGCCAGGAACTCTACAAAACAACAAGTGGATTCTCTAGTGGAGGGAGGGGCAAAGAGCTGTGGGAACATGGGAGGAGGAGGGCCTCTGGTCACCGATGTGTGCCAGGGGTGCATCACAGAGGACCCAGTGCATGTGCAGAAGCTGGAGAGGGAACAGGAACTCTCTAGTACAAAGGCCCAGAGGCGGGGGAGCAGTGCACTTGGGAAACCCCAAGTGGTCCAGGTGGCCTGGGAGTGACGTGAGAGTGTGTAATGGCATCAAACAAGATATCTTTGCACATTCTGAGGCCCAGGTCATCGTTAAACTGTGAGCTTGAGATCTGAGGTGATCTGAGGTGGACACGGCAGAGAAACCAGCTGCCCAGCTGTGAGACTGCTCTTACCTCCACGCTCTTTTCACTTCTCTCACGAATTAATTCATTTTGTTCTCTTAATTGCTGCTGTTCTTCCTGAAGTGAACAAATCCGGTCTGTTGCAGCTGAAAGCTGATTAAGAAAGATTTTTATATTTTTTAACATCACATTTAATTTTACTGTTCAAATTAAAAGCTAACATTTGGCATCTTCACAACTGGCAACGTATTTTCACATATTTGATACTTTATTTTTAAATTTTATTTCCTTGTTTAGAAGAAGTAATACATTCACATGAATCAAAACTCCGAAGATACAGAAATGCATATAGTAAAATCTCTCTCCCACCCCTTCCCCTGGCCATTTCTGCCCTGCTCAGATTTTCTCCTGTTATAAGTGATAGCATTCATACTACTTAATGTGGGCAAAGATTAGTGGACACAAAATAGCCGGAATGTCCAATATTAGGGAAATGGCTTAACATAAATTATAGTGGAAGCATAAAACAGAAATATGTATTTATTAAAATGTTTCCAAAAACTTGTAGTGACTTGAGAACATACTTGTGATATAATATCAACAGGGAAAAAGAGCAGGTTATATAGTAGTTCTCACCTCTGACCTAAAAGACCAACTATGTTAAAATGTTTAAGAAAAGATGGGACCATAGATACCAAGTGATAAAAATAGCTGTCACTTAGCAAAGGAATCATGGGCTTTCTTCCTGATTCTTCATTGTTTTCAGTTTTTTTCTAGCCAGTCAGCAAAAGAGTACTTTATCAAAAGATGGAGAATGAAAGAGTCTTGGGAGAGGCATCCCAACCAGACCACTGGAGACGTGCTCTAGGAAGACTTCCTCGCCTTGGATGAGTTCCCAGGGTTTAGGGAGGCGTGTATACAGGCAGAATGCCTTTTGGACCTGCTGAGGAGAGGCTACCAGGAGAGGAAGGGTACAGGGCTAGATATGTGAACCAAGCCCTCCTTCCCTGGCCTCCGAACACAGCCTGGAGAGAGAAGGCGAAGCTGGAGAAGGAGAAAGAAGCTGGCCACCTGCCCCTGCAGCCTGGCTGTGTTCTTGGTCGTTAGCTGACGGGGCCCAGGAGCGCTAACTCCTCACCTCCTCTTCACCAGCAGTGCCCAAGTCCACTCAGGCTCAGAACTCAGGACTGGGGTTTCTGAACATAATTGCCAAGCCCAAATGAGAAAACTGAAAGCTCTGAAGGAGGTGCCGATTGCTACCAGGGAAGAAGTGGCAAAAAGCATAAGCTAGTTCCCATTCCACTCTCTGAAGATATAGCGCGCACCCCTGAAGAGAGGCATGCTTTTCTCTAAAGGACATTTTCTGTTATAGTTGTTTGCTTTTGAAGAAAAAATAACCCAATTGTTTAGTTTCCAAAGCATGCCACCTTGTCTGGGAGAGCAGAGTGAATCTGTTCTAAAGCAACTAACTGCTCGAATGCCTCACACACACCTGTTGGATTAGACGCATCTGTATCATACTCGTCTAATTTAATCTTTACAACAATATTATAAGGTGTGGATGATCATCCAACTTAAGAGATGAGAACACTGAGGCTCAAAGACCTGCCTACCCACACGGAGGCCCTGAGGCCCACCCACCCAGGGTGAACGCGCGCCCTCCAGTTCTCAGTGTGTGAAGTCTGCCCCAGGATGCCTGCCCATGGACGCTGCCTTTCGATTTCCTTCACCTCACACAAATCTCTCCTGAAAGCTTTCCAGGGCTGGCCTCTCAGGAGACAGCAGTCAGTTTAAAGTGAGCCTGCAGCCAGGTCCTGCACTACAAAGGCGAGCTCTGCCTTTCTCCTTCAGCTGCAATCTGCCTCCACACCGAGTGGGGGTCACTCTCCGGCCCCTCTCTCAGCCCTCTTCCTCCCCAGGGGACCTGGCAGGAGGCCCGCGCAGCCAGGGACCACTACCTGTGGAAAGCCTCAGAAAGGCCGGGCAACCCCCCAACTGCTAACAGGAGACAAGATGTGTCCACCAAGGAGACTGGCGGGCAGCTGGCAGCAAGCCTTCTTCCTCGGCCTCACCCTCCTTCTTCCTGTCCTTTCATGCTCTCTCTTCCTAGTGAGAAAGCAGAGAGAGACCACACTGTGGAGAGGCTGCGTCCATGCTCCTGCGAGGCTGGGACCTGCGAGTGCTAGGTCAGGCACTTTTCCCTCAGAACAGAGTCTGAGCCTCTGGGGAGGGGGGTACACACTGCATCGTAGGAAGGCGGGAAAAGAAGAAGAGCCGGCCTTCTGCAGGATGACCTCGAGGGGGTAAACCTAGTCACCTAGAACTGGCCCACGGTCAGCTGCACTCACTGACTCATGGGAGCCCCACACAGGGAGGAACAAGACAGTCTGAGGAGGCACGTGCAGCTCACCCTAAGCATAGCCATTCCCAATTGTCTACTGAGAAGTTCTGGTCGGAAAAACCAACCATACCATTTCTCTTAAGCTTGAGTCTTCCCGTTTTAAGAATTTCATAAGTTACAAACCTCTTCTTGAAGCTTTGAATTAGTCTTTTCCAAGCCATCTATCTTGTTCTGCAGATCCCCAACTGTGCAACTATAGAAAATGAAACATTAAGCAAATGTGAACTTATAAAGCTGTTCTCTGATCTGGAAGCAATGAGAAGAGGGATTACTAGATTTCCTGTATGAAATGGAGTGTCCAAGGGTCTCCAATTAACTCAGAGATGAGAATTCTAAATATGTGTGCATGTGTATACATTCATTGAGAAGTTTTCTCCCCAAAATATGCTACCTATTTCTTTATCAGCCAATTGGAAAGAAAATCATGTTTCCCCAACATAACAGATGGGAACCAAATGGCGCTGGTGGCCAGTAGACAGAGTAATATTCCCAAAAAGATACTGGTGCTTTAGGGTAGGAGGATCAAGTGGTTTTTTAATCTTTTTTATACTTTGCCCCATTTTTTCAAATATTCTTTAAGTAGTTTGTACTACTTTCATACTGAAAAATATGTAAAAAGCTAATGTAGACTTGATAAAGAATAATAACCACCACAATAATAGTAGTGGCTATCTTTTTGGATGATGTGCCAGGCCCTGTTTGTTCTAAGCACTTTAAATGCATTGATCCATGTAATTCTTCCCACAGTTCTGCGAGGTAAACCTATTTTACAGATAAGGAAACCATAACTTTATACTGAAAAACTCATTCATGTTCCTACCCCTCTGACGGGGTGGTCACCTGGCTCTGGAACCTGTATTTTAGGCAACAGCTCCCTCCTGCCTAAAACTGGTGCCTTTTGCCAGTGTTGGGGGTGGAAAGAAGGAGACCTGACAAGGCTCATGAGTCAAAGTTTAAGGATTGGGTGGGAGACAGACAAATAAAGATACAATGACACAGAATGTAAAAGGGAACAAATAAAAGATCCAAGGGAATTAAAAGTTTTCAGAGTATACACGTGTCAATTCTATACCAACTATGTAACAGAAATATCAATAACATCTCTATTTTTCTTAGGAACTATAAATTACCAAAAACGGCAAATGCTCAAGAGGAGAAAACCTAGCTGAAGTAACCACTTAAGAAAAAATGAAAAGCCGGCCAAGTATTTTGCCTTCATAAAGGCTTTGAGCTTCACGTTTTCCAGGAGCAAATGATGCTCACAAACTGGTAGCTGTCTCCAGGCAAAGAAACAAGGCAACTGTCCTAACTCACATGAAACTACAAACCCTATTACCACACTGGAGGGAAAAACTGCATGACAGTCAGGTCAGGTCACATGTCAAAAGAATGATTAATTTACTACACTATCATTAAGTACAGTTTATCCCTGTGACACAGGGCAGGTCCAGTATGAAAAAAGCCATGAATAAAATCCGTCACATGAGGAGATCAAGGGATAAAGTCACGATTACCTTAGTGGATGCAAAAAGGCATTTGATAAAATTCAACATCTACTCCTTACAAAAGCTCTCAGTAAACTAGGAATCTAGTTTGAGAGAGAGGATCTCTCAAAATAACAGCCAAATCACACCTAAGGAGAGTCTGGAGTAGCTTCTCCCTCGCTCCCTTCCAGCCCACGTGCCAGCACCTTCCACTGTTTCACTAGCTCTGGGGGCCAGAGCTGCTCCTGCGGAGCACCACTCATGGGCACCACACGCTCTCCAAAGGGGGCGCAGCCAGAGAGGATAGCATGTCTCCCAGATTCATTAAACGGGGTCTCTTCCCACCCCCACCTACACCTCTGACAATTAGCTTCATAACACACAGCAGCAGCTTTCCAACCGAAATGAAAACCCAAGGTAAAGAAGCCCGCTATCGCTGCTGAACTGTCCTCAAAGGACCAGTGGCTGTCAACCCTCTGTCCCGCCCCAGTGCACCACAGATGTCTGCTGAGTCCCCGCAGCACCAGTGCCATCACAGCAGGGCTCCAACTGAGTGGCTGAGGGTTGGGGGTAGAGTCCAGGTTTACTTTAGTTATTCTCTAAATTGTATGACTACACAAAAGAATGAACCAAAGAACTCCTAAAATCTATTTCTCAAAAAAGCATACTTCTCTGGTATGTACACAGGAGCACTGCACGGTATGTTTTTCCTGGTTTGGAAAAATCGTTATAAATATATGGCAACTCAAAAAGGTCCCATGAAACAAGTACCAGGTGCTGAGAAAGTACTGCCACTGTGACTGACGATGGAGACTTAATTCTAAGCTTTGAGACATGGGAAAGCAGAGCCTTACCTTAAGTGCCGGTTAAGCTCTTCCACATAGTTTTTTTGGTCCAGGACATCAGTAATTCTTTCATGCCTTTCAAAAGAGCATAAACAGAAGAGAAATTCTTTTCACTCATGGTTAATACTCTGTAACTGTCTCCCAACCTTTGAATCAGCCAGAAGTACCACAAGGAAACCAAGAGATGGTCAGAGCCCATTAATGTCTGTACTGCCCCAGAGTAACACAGAGCAAGGCTGCTGGGTGGACGGCATCCAGGGTCTTGGGAGACAGAAGAAATGCCCCCTGGATGTGCCCTGGAGCCCTGTGGCAGGCAGGGCACCAGGGGAGAGGAGAGAGGCCACCAGCGTGCCAGGCGGAGACACCAACAGCCACTTGCAGGTGCAGCCGCCCTTGTCAAGATGCAAGAAAAGGGGACTGAGAGCCTTTTGTCAACAAACCTGAGACATCCCTGGTGTATGTTTTCTATTTTAATTACATATATTCTTTCTCTGTAGTATACACTCTGAAGTACCACACAGAAATGTGGATCCAAGTTCTTTTTTATCATAACATAAATGGTAGCATGTATACAGAATTTGCTTTTTCTTTTCTTTTTTCTCTAGGACTTCTTTTAAAAAGAATGTTCTTGTAAACAAGGATGAGGGCAAACTACCCAGGCATGAAAGCACATCCATGACACACTGGGATCAAAGAAGCCCAAAGGCAACTTATATATGTAGCAGTACCGTCCCCTTTCCAGGCAGATAAACTGTAAAGCAAATTATACTACCAGCAAATATACACCCGCAGGGCATTAAGAAAAGGTTTGGGAGGAGACATGAGTAACTTCCTTTGAGGGAGGAATGGGAGTGGGAGTGAGAGAGAGACGAGGGCACAGTGCGATGGGGAAGTTTCATTCAGATTCTCTACTCTGCAGAGCCTAATGCCTTGCGCAATGGCAATATTCACGTATTACCTCTGTAATTAAATACAGCTAAATAAAAACTAGAATTTCAAACAAAGCAAAACAAACGTAGCATTCTTTGCCAGAGTTCCACTAAACACGCGAATGACAACAGCATACAATGCAGTACTTACTCTTTGCTGCCATCAAAATCCTGCACATCCTTAAGGTAGAGGGAAAAATCGATCACTCCAACCTGGTCAAAATAAAATGCTCAAGTGTAAATAAAAAATAACCTTTCCCCTTTCCACAAACCCCAGTCTTTAAAATTTAGGGTGCTTACATCCCTGTGTCCTTCCTACATTGTTAGGCTAATCAGCTCCATAAAACAGTAACCAATTGAACAAACAAACCCAAATGAAAATACCCCACCATTATCTAGGAGAAAAACTTACTAAAAATCTGAATTTTAACAAATATTCTGAAATTTTACCACATAGTTGATTAACTTTGTATATTTATTCAATAAGCAGGTTGTTGACAAAGATCAACAAAGTTCTTTGAGTAAAAAGTAATAAAAAAAGAGATCTGGGTCTCTATACTAAGAGGTGACCTTAACTGACTCTGACTCCTTCCTGTCCCAGCTGTGGTGAAATGGGCCCATTGGGATTCCGGGAACATTGTCCGCTGCTGCGGGCACTAGGGAGGATCCAGACCCCTCAGACATCTAAATGGCAAGGGATAAAGCCCTTGGGAGAGAGCAGGTGGGGGTGCTGGTCTGTCACCCCCCTAACTCCAGTGAGTAAAGCCACGCCTATTTGAAATACAGGAAAATTGCATCCATCAATGGAAAAATGTTTAAATCAATTCTGGTATAGCCATGTCACAGAACCAATGCAACCATAACAGAATGAAGCCAGTGGAGGTGCAAATGACATAAAGAAAGCTCCAGAGTAAAATTTTAAGTCAAAGATTAATATGTAAGCATTAATCCTTTACAGTAACCCCCTTATGTGAATTCAAAGCTGTGTGATGGTTCCAGCAACTTCTCTGCCATGCCTCCCGCCAATCTACATTCCGACCCTTGAACCTAGGTGGGCTTAGTGCCTGATTTGATGAGTAAAAGCAGCAGAAATTATGCTGTGACATCTGTAGCCAGGTTAAGGAAGGCAACAGTGGCTTCTTCCTGGCTCTATCTTTCAAAGGGCATGTGCCTTTGGCATTCCAAGCCTCCATGAAAGAAGTCTGGCTACTGTGAAGCCACCAGCCAGAGACCAGGTGGAGGGACCACAGGAGGACAGAGATACCCAAGAAGGCCCTGCTGATCCAGCTCCCTCCTCCCCAAGCCACCTCGGCCCAGAAGACAGACCAGCAGGACAACAAGCCTTCGGCTGCCAATTGGTTGTGACCATGGGAGCCCCCAGCAAGAGGTCCTGGCCTCACTGTGCCTGGCCAATCCCCAACTGCAAGTCAGTGGCTATTACATTTGTTGATTTCTTACCCACCAGAAAACCAGAGAAGGTTTAGTTTGGAACAAAACCTATGCATGCATAAATGCATAAAAACCACAGAAACAGTTCTGGAAAGATTGTCCCCTCAATTCTTACCATTGTCTGTGGGCAAGAGCATGGGACTGCAGGGGGCAGGGGAGGAGGGGAATTTGATTTCATTTCTAACTTCATATGCTTCTGTATTAACATTTTTCAATGAGTATGCATTCTTTTGTAATAAAATCAAACAATAAAAAGAAATAATACAATAAAATTAATTAATAAAAAGGAAATATATATTCAACTGGGAAAAAAAAAACCAATAGAACGAGGAAAGTTAACACCAACAGTGGAAATGAATGGATTAGAAAGCAAATAAAGCCCCTTTCCCAAAGCAGAACTGATGAATAAAAGCAAGAGCTGGTTCTACAGGGTCAACAGAGCAGACAAAGCTCTACTAGGTGTGATCGATATTTAGTAGCTGAGGGAAGTGGGATTTAAGAAGCTGTGAGAGGCTACTCTCATACAAGTAGTAGATCTGAATGGAGGGAAGGATTTCTGAAAACAGAGAAGTGACTTCACAATTGCCCAAGACATCGGGAACCAATAACTTGACCAAAAGCAATGCAAAAAACTACAGTGGCAAAGAGCTAGGGCCAAAACAAGCATAAGGCTGAAGTGTCATGCCAGTAAGTTCTAGGGAGCCTTCAGAGAAAAAATAATTCCTGCCCTAATAAATGGTTATAGAAAATGAGAGAAGAATATCATCCAGCTTATTTTATGAGGTCAATGCAATTCTGACACTATGAAGTGACAAAAGCAGTATAGAAGGAAAATTCAGAGGTTTCCCTGATAAGTGGAAATACAAAACTTCCAAATAAACCAGACACAAAAAATCTGGCAGTACACTGAAAATGTACTATATGATGACCAAGCAGGGTTTATTTTAGGAATGCAGGGGTAATACCATAATAGGAAACCCATAAATTAATTCAGTGCATTTGTGAGTTAAAAACAGATATCACATCTCACTAGATGCCAGAAAAGGTATCTGACAGCATTGAACATTCATTTATAATAAAACTATAAAGTATATTAGACTAGAATGGTACTTTCAAACCATGAGCAAAAGGATCCTTCAGACATTAACAGCAAACATTCATACCTCACGGTAACATAAGAGAGGAACTGCATTAAAGAACAGACCAGGGGGGCTCAGTCACATCTATTATTTAATAAAAATTCCAACTGAGTTTTTATTTTGGAATCTGACAAAATGATGTTCAAGTTCATCTGGCAGACAGCCTGAACTATCTCCGAGAAAGAAGCATAACAAAGTAGGCAGGAGGTGACTGCCAGAGCATAAGGCACATGTGTGGCACTAGGAACTAAAGACTGTGCTAATGGCACAGGAGTAAGGAGATCTTGGGGCTAGAAGGAGCCCGGGAACGGGCCTTAGTGTATGATGGATACTCAACACATGATAATGGGTGGAATTTCAAATTAGCAGAAAAATATAGTTAATACAGGATGTTGAGAAAACTAGTTTACTATATGTAAAAGAAATCTAGACTCCCACTTCCTGCTATACCAAAACAAACAACAAAAGGCAGATTATCTAAATGTAAAAAATACACAGTGATTTTAAAAATTAGGTTAATTTTAGATGGGGAAGGACCTTCTAAGCACAATACCTTAGGAGGTATAAAGGAAAAGGTCATTACATTTGACTACCAAAAAAAAAAAATACCTTCTACAGGGAAAACCAGCTCCAGCCCTGACAAACCAGAAAAAAAGTTTTTAACAAAAATTCCAACAAATAGTTAATGCTCTTAATCTATATTAAAGGAGCAGAAAAAGATGGAAAACTCAGAAAAATGGGCAAAGGTGATGAACAGGTAGTCACAGAAGCTGAACCAGATGCCAATGGCAAACACAACATGAAATAAATACTTGGCTTCTTAGTTCTCCAACTGGGGACTTGAGATGATGAGTTGGTTGGTATATCAGATTGAGAAAGCCAAAGAATGCTCATCACAACATCGCAACATTCATGCGAATGTGTGTGTGCTCTGACTCAGCAATCTCACGTGTCCTACAGAAATAAATGTACAAGAGTACAAACAGGTATGAGGATGTTTACAATACTGTTATAATATGGAAACGACCTAAACTGAGAAGGCATTGGTTAGATAAATTATGGTACATTCACAAAACGGAATTCCATACAGCCACTTAAAATGGTTTATATCTCTATTAACATCAGAGCTATGGGGGACATACTGTTAAATAAAAAAGTTATAAAATGATGTGCCTGGATTAATCGTATTTTGGTTTAACAAAAAAAGAAAATTCCAAACACCTTTCTCTAAAATATATAAACACACACACACATACCCTTATTCATGTGCTGGAATATACCAGAACGGAACACTATATTAGCTGTCTCTGAATAATGGGATTATGTGTGATGTTTTGTTTCTTTTAAAAAATACTTCTTTAATTAGGCTTGAGATGGATTAATGATTGTACATTGAGCGTTGACCCCCCTATACTGAATTTTATTGTTGTTAACAACCATTTGATCAATAAATATGAGAGATGCCCTCTCAAAAAAAAAAAATACTTCTTTGTATTTTTTGAAAAAATTTCAACATATGTAAACAACAGAACTATTGGAAAAAAGGGAGGAGAATTTACGAAAAAAAAGCTGCCCTGGGCACGGAAGGATTGGGGAAGCATTAGATCTTTCAGGTCCACACTTGTGGCGGGAATGGCGGGAATGGCGGGAAGAAGGCTGGGCAGTGGCCCACCACAGCTACAAATGCCCTGAAGACGGTGGAGGTCGGGGGTGGGGGTGGGGGGCGGGGATTCAGGGTGTCTGTGCCCCTCAGACATTTACAGTCCCTGCCACCGATGGCCCAGCTCCTGGCCTGGCCTCCGCCCCCGCCTCCCTCCTGGGGCATCCTGTGCTCCAGCCTCAGCCCTGGTCGCCCAGCCCATCCCCAGAGGGCCGTCCCGTCTCTCCGGGCACTCTGCTCTCACTACCCACTTCATTGGTGCCAGCGTAGATTGATCATCTGACTTCCCGAAACTCTCCTGACTCTCTGTTGCCACTCCCTCCCCTTTCGGGACTTCCAGAGCTGGTTTTGGTTGTCTCTACTCTTGGCTACTCTCACCCAGACAGCCGCTAGATTGATCTACCTCAAACCCAGGCCTGGTCATGTAAGCACAGGGCTAAGAACCTCCACCAGTGTCCCAGAGCTCCAGGGACCAGAGCGGAGCCCCTCAGCATGGCCCAAAGGCCCAACACACGGCCCGGCCTCCGCCTCCGCCTCCCTCCTGGAGCACCCTGTGCTCCAGCTGCAGAGAGCTGTTTCCTCTTCCCAAACATGTTGCCTCTGTGCCTCTGGCCTGGCACCACCCTCTAGGGGACACTGCTGCCACCTGCCCCTCTCAGGTTCAGCACACGTACAGGTCTGCAGATTCTACGTTCAATCCCTGGCCCAAAGCAGGCATTCCATGTAGAGTACAAATTCCTGTTCTACCTGAGAATCCAAGTCTTCTCCTTTTAAGCAGAGATTGGCATCAAGAACATTGAGGCCCACCAGCAGACCAACGATCACCATCCCTTCTTCCTCCATCATCAGCGCTTCGGGCTCATAGAACTCACTAAAAGAGAGTGACAGTTCACCACCCCTTCTCCCCAACGGCCCTGCCTCCCACAGCCCTGCCTTTGGCCTCCTCAGATGACTGCCTGGCTGCCAACTTCCCCAAGAGCCAGAAGCTCCCTGGTGTGAATTTCCTTCTGCCTCTTATTTCCTTCTCCACCTCAAGGGTGGCTATTTCTTCTCTGGCCTTCCCTCCCTTTCAGGGGCTTCGATGGGCTCTTCCTACTTCCAGTCTAAGGCTCTCCTCTGTTTGGCCTTGGACTGGACTCACCTTTCCATCTCCTCCTGGCTCCTTTGTTCCTGACTAGTACTCCACCCATCCTGTCTGCAATTGGATCCTTCTTCCACATTGCTATGAACTAATTCTACACCTACACTCATGTCAGAGGGGAGCAGGGTCCCAGAGAACCCCTGCATCCAAGAGTAAAACTCTTCCCTCTTTCCTGCATCCCACTGAGCAAAGTGCAGATGCTGGCTGCTTGTACTTCCTTATCTCCTAGTCGCCTCAGCCATATGCAGTGGGGCCCCATCCCTGTCAATTGTTACATGTGTGCAAGGGCATGAGAACATTCTGTCTGAGAATTTGCTCATTAGCAGAAAATCTGTACCTCAAAGTTACTCACTGTAACTGTACTCAAAGGTCAAAGGACATGAAATATTTGAAATCAGTATTTGTCACGTAAAGATATGTTCAATCAGAAGCCATGGCTTGAAAACAGTGAAAAAGTTTGGGTGGCAGGCTCATACTCTAAGACATTTACCTCATTTCAACAAGAGAATTAACTCTAGAAAGAGTCCTCCCTTACTAATTCTCATATTCTAGAGAAATTCCCTCTATAAAGATTTTTGTTTGTATAGTTATAAAAAATAACCAGTCATAAGTATCAGAGATAGCCAGTTGGTCTCTACTGATGCTAAGAGATTCAAAATTTGACAAACTGGATATGGAATCCTGAAATAGGTTATAGAAGTATGGTCTCTTACAAAAAGCAGAGGTTTATACTCTAAAATTGCCCACTGCATCTAGTGCTAAAATCATTTTTTCCTATTACCTTCCAATCTAATAAATACAATTTTGTTGAAACTTGAGGGAGTAGGTTGTCAGTTACTCAGTCTTAGGAATTTCTGAAGGACTGTCTTCAAAATTACTTTTCAAAATGAAAAGCAATATATAAATCTTCATTCATAATGACTTTTAGGTATTGCTGCTCAAAAGATGAAATAAAGCTGATCCTTGAACAACACTGGGGCTGGGGATGCCAAACCTTGTAAAGCCAAAAATTTGAGCAAAAGTTTTGACTCCCCCAAAACTTAAGTACTAATAGCCTACTATTGGTTTATGGTAGTAAGTGATAAAATAGACTGGTATCTATATATGTGTTACGCACTCATGACATACCTAACTTCTTATTTTTTGGTATTTCTAGACTATGTGGTTCATTTGTGAATTTTTTCAAATTGTTGCAAAATTCAAAAAAATTTCCCATACATTTATTGAAAGAAATCCACATGTAAGTAGACCTGTGCGGGTCAAACCTATGTTGTTTAAGGGCCTTTTAAGTAAACCCGTGTTGTTTACTGCTCATTTAAAACTAAGTCATGGAATATTTACGATTAATAATAATTCGCATAAAATCTGTGGACATTATATATTCTTTATTTCAAAATGATCTCTAGAACTATGTTCTAATTATTTACAAAGCAAAAGATGAGCAAAGATAGGTGCTGAAATACCTTAAGAGATGTTTACTGTCTATAAGCACTTTCAGATAATCTGCCAGTTTCTTTTGCATGAGTGCAAGATACAGCCAGGCTCTGCCTCTTCCCACAGCTGTCCTAGAATTCAGAGAATCAAACCGTTAGGGCATAACAACAACGAAAACAAAGAAAAACTCAATCTAGCCAGAGAGAGGCACACATTCCCACATGGACACATTGTGAGTGCAGAGAACACTGCAGGAGGGCTGCTTTGAGGCTGAGGGGCACCACACTGCCTGGATGCCCGAGACCCCTGGCTACTCTTTCAATTGTCTATCACGGGAATGTTTTTTGTTTTGTTTTGTTTTGTTTTATTTTTTGATAGAAGAGGAAAAAAAATCTCAATCCATGAAAATCTGATTTCTAGAACAAATACACTTAGATAAAATTTTGCATATATTCATGATGTTTCACAGGGAGCCAGGAAATATTAGATTAGCTAGATCTGCATATGGACAAAGATTCTTTCAAAGGATGAATATGTGGAACATAGTGTTTGTTGAAGTGTTGAAGTCTGACGGGATTTCTAAGGCATTAGCTCAAAGGTGCAATTATATTTTTAATGTGATAAAATACATAAAATTTACCTTTTTTAGGTGGCTATTTCAGTAGTGAAGTACATTCACATTGTTGTGCAACCAGTCTCCAACACGCAATTTTGAAAGGGCCTGATTTAAGCGTCAGAAGAAAAGAAAGCCTCCCAACAGCAGACCTGACACTGTTTAAGGAGAAGACTTGGACTAAGCAGAGCACCTGCATCTGTAACCTCCAGGAAAATATTAGAGGCACTGCTGTAATCCGTTTCTGCCTTGAAAGGAGCTCCCGGTGGCTGAAGGCCTCGCTCTGCGTCCCGGGGCTTTCAGGAGCGAGGTCCACAAGGGTTAACTAACTTCGCCACTACAAAGGGCTTTGAGCCTCCCACCCTCCAAATGATGCTAAACCAGAGTAAAAAGGAAATAAAGTAGGGAACAAGATATTTAATTTTGGCATGAGGTGTAAAACAGACAGGTGCTGCTTGGTGGGAGCATAACGGGACACAGCTCTTAGGGCAGGCGATTGGTGGCCACAGGTTTCCGAAATTCTACATCTAGTGGTATGTCCTAAGGCATTTTAGTTTCGGACGTACACAGACATGTATGTTTGAGGATGGTCACCACTGCACTGTTTGGATAATCAGAATTTGAAGACAACTACAGAGCCCAAAGGGGCGGTAAATAAATGAGCTATACAACCAAATGCTATGAGCCCGCTTCAAAATGATGTAGCTGAATAGTTGACACAGAAAGGTGTTTAAAATCTAACACTAACATCAACGTTAGAAATCTTTTTCTGAAACAAAAGCAAAAATAAACAAGTGGGACTACATTCAACCGAAAATCTTCTGTCCAGCAAAGGACACCATCAACAAAATGAAACGGCAACCTATGGTATGGGAGAGCATGTTTGCACACAATTGATCTGATAAGGGGCTAATATCCAAAACATATAATGAACTCACATACTGAACACCAAAAAAATATATAGTATCATTAAAAAATGGGCAGAGGACCAGAGTAGACATTTTCCCAAAGACATACAGATGGCCAACAGGTACATGAAAAGATGCTCCACATTGCTGATCATCAGGGACATGCAAATCAAAGCCACAGTGAGCCTCACACCAGTCAGAAGGGCCATTATTCAAAACACAAGAAATAACAAGTGTTGGTGAGGATGTGGAGAATCGGGAGCCCTCCTACACTGTTGGTGGGAATGTGATTGGTCCAGCCAGTGAGGAAAGCAGTATGAAGGCTCCTCAAAAAAACTTAAAACTGGATATACCATATGACCTAGTAATTCCACTTCTGGGAATCTACCTGAAGAAAGGAAGTCATTAATTTGAGAAGATATATGCATCCCTATGTTTAATGTAGCACTATTTACGATCACCAAGATATGGAAGAAACCCAAGTGCCCATCAATAGGTGTGCTACATATACACAATGGAATATTACTTAGCCATAAAAAAGAAAGAAACCTTGCCATTTGTGACAACATGGATGAACCTAGAGAGTGTTATACCAAGTGAAATAAGCCAGGCAGAGAAAGAGGAATAACATATAGTTTTACTTATCTGTGAAATGTGACAAAACAAATAAAGCAGGAACAGATCATAAACACAGAAAATGAACAATTGGTTCCCAGGATGGGGGCAGAAATAGGTGAAGGGGATAAAGAGGTACAAACTTCAAATTATAAAATAATTTAGTCACAGGGATAGTAGTATAGCATAGGGAATACAGCTCATAATATTGTAATATCTTTATATGGTGACAGAAGGTAACTATACTTATCATGGTGACCATTTTAAGGAAAAGGAAACTGAGGCTCAGAGGATGCAAATTTTGCTCAAGATCATGTGACTAATGAGCAGCAGAGCTGGGACTGAAGTCTAAGTACAGTGTGACTTTTGCTCCAGTGTGTTCTGATAGCAGGGGACCAGGGCGAGCGCTCCTCTTGCACAGGGAGGAGTTACACACAGGAGGCATTTTTGAAGTCCTGTTACACTAAGAAGGAGCTCACTGTCAGCTAAACCCACTGTTTCCTCTTAAACCCAGTGGAGCAAGCAAGGGACAAGCCTAAATATTGAAGTCCTCCCTGTCTGCCAAAAAGTAAATGCACAGCAGGTCCCATCTTGATGCCTGGGGAGGAGCGGCCTCACTGGGGGCCCCATGGGAAAGGACAGCTGTTTAGCTCCATAAAGAACTGCGGTGTTTTACTATTTAAAAGTTCTAAAATCTCTACAGCAGTTTGGAAGTTATGACTAGTGTATTTTTGGGGAAGAGGCATACACTTTGAATTATAAAATAATTTAGTCACAGGGATGGAAGGACAGCACAGGGAATATAGCTCATAATATTTTAATATCCTTGTAAGGCAACAGGTGGTAACTACACTCATCACAGTGAGCATTTAGTAATGTATCTAATGGATGAATCACTAAGTTGTTCATCTGAAACTAGGCTTCACTCCTGAGAGGGGAGGGGAAGCTGATCGGAAGGTGGGGGACCACATGAAGAAAAACTGAAGAAACAAGGCAGAATATGTGGGAGGCTCACGAGGGGTCACCACATAAGTAACTGAACACTGTCACATGCAGAAGGACCTTGTGTGATACAGGCCCAGGGGGCTCAACCAGGGAAAGGGGCAGAAGGCTTCAATTTGATCTCGAGGAATGCACAGGGCAGGGGGCAGCGGAATGTAGTGAAATTAGAAGGTTTCAGAGCCCAACAGCCCTGTGTTCTCTTCCTGGCTCCCCACTCACTTGCCAAGGGACCTCAGGCAAGTTCCTTAGCCCCTCAGTCTCAGTTTCTCAGCTATCAGTGGGGATACCAACAACTTTCCTACAGCTTTGTTGTGGAGGACTAAATGGGAAGAGATGTCTTAAGCACAATGCCTGGCACATGGCAGCCGTTAATAAATGGTGATTGTGATTATCTGAAAATTGAACAGGCTGGCTCCACAGAAGTCAAATCAAACAAGGCTAGACAGTCAAGTTCCCCCAGGAGACTCTTTTGCATTGGCCCAAGGATCTCTAGGGCCCCTTCTAAATGTAGATGCCAGGATGATGCCTTGTTTGTGTTCTGTCCAGTTTTTAAAATTTTGAACCTATGCATAGGGATTCCGAGGGCAGACCCACACATGGCAAATGATTCGTGGGTCCCAGCCTTTTCACAAATGTCCTATGTCCTGGAATCTAAAATCTGGCCCGAACTGTATTATTCAGAAAACTGCCCAGCTGCGTCTGAAGCAGTGACTGCAGGAGTGTAACAAGGACTTCTTTTCCTCCTGTAACTGCTCCTCAGGGGATGACACATTCGTGAACTATTTGACCTTGTGTGACAAGCAGGAATCACTATCTCCATTTTAAGGAAAAGGAAACTGAGGCTCAGAGAGCACATTCTGCTTCAAGATGTTGTTGCTAATGAGCATCAGGGCTGGGACTAAACTCTACTGCGTGACTCATGCTAGTGTGTTCTGAGTCAGAAAAAGCTTTATCAGTTAGGAACTGAGAAATGGGGAGTCTTTTTCACATCAAATCGGTGTAACTGCTTCACACTCACTTTAGCTCTGGCAGATTTCTGACACTAGTGGCTATATCTGATGCTTCTGGACAAAGTTTCTCCACCAGCTCCAAAGGCCCAAAGAAAGATTTATTTTGGCCAATAAAACTCTTCTTAACTAAAATAAAAGGGAAAACAGAAGTGTTATTCATAAGAACAGGTTTGCAAAATGTCTTCAGAGGCCCACAGTCTCTCCCGCAAAAGCCAGATGAATGATGCAGAGCTCTACCACTTCATCCTTTCTGAGTTGGTCTCAGCGACTGGGAAAGGCCAGCCAACAAATGAGCTCTCCTTTCCCTGGACAGGGTTTCTCTGATCGACCTTTTGTGCTCTAACTCCAAGTACTTATTCCATGAAATAACCTTCCTATGATCACCTGCAAAATCCTTGCCCGTTCTCCCTCCTATCTATGCCAAAATCAGTGATTGACTTCAAATCATCACCACCATCCCTAATCTGAACTGCTACCACAACCTTCTAATGGGTCTCCTTGATCCTAATATTGTCACCTCCCTACCTTCACAATCTATTTTCCACACATCTGGAAGTTCTCTTACAAATGTAAGTCAGGTCATGTTTTTCCACTTACATTTTAAGTACATTTAAAGGATTTTAACCTCCAATACACTTAGATTAAAATCCAACTCACCTGACCTATAAAGGTCTATGTGATCCAGTCTCCCTCTATCCTCCATTTCCCTTATTCTATTTTCTCCCATCAGCCCTCTCGGCACACTCAGTTACCCAGTGTCTTCCTTAAACCAAGGCTGTCCCACTCAGGACCTTTGCACTTGCTTTTTTTCCCCCTCTCTCTAGGAATGCTCTTGCCCCAAATCTTTGCATGGTTAACTCTTACCTCTACTTTAGGTCTCATTTGGTCTCAGCTCACATTTCACCTCCCCAGAAAGACCGTCCCCTCTCACCCTAGCTGAAAGGCTTTTTCCTTGATATTCTATCATTTAATCCATTTTGCTTCCTTGAATTTGTAGCATTTTATAATTAGGGTTGTTTGTTTCTGTGTTTATGGTTTGTCTGGTCTTCTAGAGTTGTGCCGTCCAAGACAATCGCTGGTGACATGTGCTACTGAGCACTTGAAATGTAGCTGGTGCAATTGAGATGTGTTAGTAAGTATACAACACAAAGTTGATTTTTAAGCCTTAATATAAAAGACAATGTAAAACATCTCATTAATAAGGCTTTTTAATACTGATTATGTGTCAAAATGGTGGTATTTTAAGTACATGGGTTCAATAAGGTATATTCATAAAACCAGTTTCACCTGCTTCTTTTTACCTTTTTTAACATGGCTACTAAAACAGTAAAAATTGCTCGCCTGGCATTTCTGTGGGATAGCGTTGTTCTAGAACGTCGAGCCTCGTGGGCAGGAACCTTGTCTGTGCATTGCTGTTATCGTGGCACCCAGAATAATGTTTGGCACTGGTGAATACATGCTGGGCAAACAGCTAGCCCGAATTTCCACGCCCCCAAACGCCCCTCAGGCTCACCTTTCAGCCCATGTTTGAGGCAGTGCTCCATCACTACGAAGAACTGCTGCAAGGGGGCATGGTCTGCATCCAGGCTGCGGCCCAGACTCAGAGCAGACTGGAGCAAGACTTTGATGCTGAGTTTCATCATGTGCATCAGGTTGGCACGCTCCTCCATCATCTGGCACTTGGAAGCTGTTGGAGCAGAAGCAGAGACAGCTTCGTTAGAGGACTGTGTGGTCCCGGGCGTGGAGGATCGACGCGGGGAAACCGAGGGAAGATAGGCCAGGCGTGGGGCCAGGCGGTCTGTTCGGAGCGGGGACGTACCGGCGGCCGTAACCAAGGTTCGTAGGCGGCCCCTTATCCTTGTAGGTCACGGCGGCACCTGGGAGACCTGGGCCTACTGTCTGTCTCCAGAGGGCTCGCCCAGAAGTTGCTAGGGAAACGGCCCAAGGAAGGGCGCAAACTCCAGGAAGCCCCGCCCCACACTAGAGGGCGTGCAAGGAAAACGTTCCGCCCCTGGGCATTCTTATTGGGCGAGCCCGAGGCCACGCCCACAGAGCGTGCAGGCGCCATTTTGCGTCTCTGCCCTGGCGGCCACGTTCCGCTTCCTACCCAGGCGGTCTCCCGGGCCTGCTGTTTGGTTCCCTCATGCAGCCCACCAGCCATCGGGGAAGCATCTGCTCCTCAGTTCCGAGCTCACATTCTCGTCATTGCCTGTCTTTTGTACACAAACTGCGAAAATTACGAGTTTTGCACTTTTTTGTAAGTAAAACTGAGAGTCAAATGAACTCGGCTGCATTTCCATTTCAGTTACTTTCATCTCGTCAGTTTTGAAAGTAAAAGTTTGTTTGCACCCAGTATTATACCCATGACATGTGCTTACAAGTGCCTCTTCAAGTCCAGGAAGCTGTCCTAGAAATTAAAAATGTAGACCCCAAATTTTACAGTCCTGGCAGGAAAACAGCGCGGGGCGCGAGGCGGGGACCCCGGGGCCGCTCCGCACCAGCGCGAACGTCGTCTTCCAAATACCTGCCAATTGGATGCAGGGAGGGATTGTATTTAGTTTGGCCTCGTCTGAGTAGTACTGAGGGTAGGCAGCCTCTCATGTTTATTGTCGTTTAGCATTTCTCCTGGGAATTGCCTCTTAAGCCTTTTAACTTCTTGTTGAATTGCCTTTGTCTAACGCATCTGTATATTCTGAATATTAATCCTTTGTTTTATGTCATGGCCATTAATACGGATTATAAAAATAATTAAAAGAGCATATACATGTATAACTAAATCTTGACTATATTGTGACTGAATTTATAATAAAGGTATTGATAAATATTATTGAGACCTGAGACAGACTGGAACTAAAATTTCCACTTTGAGCAAAACCCAAGGCAGCTGTTGAGAAAGAAAAATCGGCCTAAACATTTTATCTGGGTTGTGCGGAGAGAAAAATGGGTTAAGTAAAGCTTTTTTTGAACGGGGTGGTACAATTATTTTAAATTTTCAGAGAATCTTATGAATTACATTTATAAATTTGAAAACTGTACCGAATGGCATAATTGGCAAAGGAAATAATTATAAAAGCTCATCTAGAGAGGGAAACCCTGAATAGGCCAATGACCATAGAAGCAACTTGGAAATATTTACTCCCGAAGACACTGCGCCGGTCCACAAACGAGCGGTCTTCGGAGAGGAATGCATGTACGGCATTCCTGTGCAGGGGTAGGTAGGCCGAGATGATAAAAGGAAGTGTTTTTCCAGATCCTCAGGTTTCACAGGCACACTTTGTTCTCCCAGTTTACAGAGGAACAGCAATTCACTTCCTACCCCGCCTCTGCCTCTAGATGCACTGACCTGAGGTGCAGAAAGCTCAACAAACCAATTGTAGGGGAAGACATGAAGAGCCTCAGATTTCTCACTGCTTTATGTATTTCAGGGAACCTGGTCTTGAGGAAGGGGGTGATCACTAGCCCTCTTCAGGGTAGCCTTAATTTAGAAAGTCAAAATTTTTTTTCCTACTACAGATTGATGTAATTATTTTTAGCCAATCTCAGTAGCCCTCCCTAGGATGTGCCATTAATGTGATGGGCATGTTCCATAAATTGAATAAGGCAAAACTGTCGCTCCAAGTTTTTAATGAAAATGGATTTGAAGTACACATAAACTAAGTCTTCTTGTCAAAAAATACTGTATTGGCAAACATGTAATGAAATAAGCAATGTTTAGGTGTTCAACCATTTTGAGTGTTCTCAGTTCAACAAGGTAACTAAGTGAAAGAATTACAGTATAATTATCATCTGAAGTCCTGGTAAAGCCTTTTCTTGGGAACTTTTTGAGGTTGTGAAATTCCTTTAATATGACGAGGTTGCATCCTTTTGCAACTCAGGTGATAGTCATTTGCTTTGAATAAAAAATAAAGGAACAAAAAAATAATTGTTGACAATAGGTCAGTGTGATTTGGGGCACATTACTGGTTGGAGTTCAAAGACTTGATATCATTACCATAAAAAACTCCATTTCTATTTCTTATATGAACCATGTTCCTCATCCATAATTTCTGTATTCTCGGGGATCATATCCATAAAAAGCCAAAAAACGGATAAAATCTTATCATATTTCATCAGTAAGACATATATATTCATCTGTAGATACATGTTGTGAAAAAACTAACACCAGCTTATAAGGAGAAGCAATTCCAAGAAAAAGTTCATGTATGATAATTATTTATAAAAATTATACTTTCATTCCTTTTGTCACCTTAGCATTACTAATAATTTTAATGGTAATTCATTCCAGGAGAAAAGTATTTTATACACTTCAAGCTTTGGTCACAAGAATTATTAAATTTTAATTTACTTAGAAGTTTTGCTGAGATAGGATGACCAATAAAAATTTTAAAAACATGGAAGTGGAATAGAAATTCAAGTTCAAAGAATGAAAGGGAAAATATAAAGTTTTCAAGTATTTGATATTTTTTAGATGGGTAGTGGCATATATCAAATCATTAAGGTATTTACATACCACTTTATAAACTTAAGAATGATGTGACAATTTAAAAAAAATTCTGTATTTATAATAAACCAGAAAATGTAAACTTTATAATTATGACAGAATTTTATGTCAACTTTAAAAGCTGAAGTTTTTTTTAGGGGATCATGTGAGCAAACACTAAGTTTTAGCTGGTCAGAGCTGGGTGGCCATGGCTCCTACTGTTGCTGGGCAGCTGCGTCTGGGGAGGTCTCTCTCTGAGCACTAGGTGAAGCCTCAACCTGAACAGGGGAGGGTTCTTGACTCTGAAGGAAAAAGAATTCTCAGAATTCTTGAGCAGGTCTGACAAGGGTAGGTAAGGAAGGAATTCACTAAAATGAGAGTAGCAGGGAATGGCAGCTGCCTTGCAGGCAGCAGAAAGCAAGGAAGAACAGAGGGAGGAAAGGGAGGTTCATTGAATTCCTGTTCGGCATGGGACAAATCCCTTGACAACCCCTAAAGCCAGGGCACCTGTTGTCCAGTGTCTGCTTGGATCTGCACAGTGTGGGAACTAAGTCCCTCCCACCCAGGATCTGGGGGAGCCGCAGAGCACTGGATGGAGAGAGATTATGTTCTGAGAACTTCCCAAAGGCAAAGAAAGGAGATTTTCAGGCAGGCCACTTGAAGAGCATGATGGCACAGCTGTGTCCTGTCCGGGTCACCCAGGTGACGGGAAGTTGCGACCCCAAATCAGAGATCTCAGTAGTCCTCCCTACTCGTCTGAAGGATGACAGAGAGGGTGAAGACTTGTGCTTAAGTCTGGAAAATAGAATTAAATAGCAAAGTAGCAAAGACTCTTACCACTGGAAGAGCGCAGAGACAAAATGCATTAGGTTGAGCAGTAAAGTTTTTATTTAAGGCAAAAAATACACACTCAAAAAAAGAGTGCAGGCAACCTCAGAGAGGAGGTGCACTTAAGGGTTTGGGTTTTGGGGTTTTATAGGGCCTTTTGGGTAGGGGTCAACATAAGGCATGATGTATACAGGTGATTCATAATTCCTTTGAAGTTTTGTTTTAAGAATAGGGTTATTTAGGTGACTGGGTTGACCTTGATCTTGGCATTCTTTATCCACATAGGTTCATTTACACTTCAGAGGTCTATCTCCTGTCCTGGTTACTTAATTAGGGGACTGGAAGAAGAGGAAGAACAGCCTATAGATTAAGTTAAAGAATAAACTGGGTCTTTTTCACAGGCTAAGTAGATTTTACGATGTCCCATGTCTCTGCCCTACCTCACTACCACTGTTCCGGGGAACGCGTCAGTGTTGTGCAGCCATCTCATCCATCCCCCTGCTCTGTTAGTCATCTATTTTCATTCATGCTCTATTTACAGAGTTATGGAAAATTCTAGGAAGGATCTTTAAGCTGTTCCATCTCTCAGTTTTACTAGCTTTGTGACCTTGGCCAAGCTATTCACATCTTTAAGCTTCAGTAAAAATAGTTTCAGCACAACACACAAAATGTCACCAAGTGCTACACTTCCTGAATTGCCAAATAAATGGTCTGATCAGGGATCTTGACCTTGACCGTCACACGGGGGTGGGGCCTGGAACATAAAAGAGGAGCCTGTGGGATGATGAGCTGGAGGGAACCTACAGCCCATTTCCAGGCAGCAACCTGGCCAAGGACCAGCCTCTTGCTGGAGAAATGCTGGTCAATGGTGCCGGGTCAATGGAGTTTTCACAAGATGAAGATCTGGATTTTTAGATAAAACCTGCTAATTGGCTTAAAAAAATGCTTTTATACTGTGCAGGATAAAAAAATAATTTAACTATCAGTTAAACAGCTGTCAGTTTGTTGTAACCTTTGGTGTACAGTGTAAGTACTCGGGGTGTGGGCGCTACAGATTTGTTCTTGGGATTCTGAATTATGGAGAAGTGACTAGATTCTTTATAAACTTGACTTTTTAGTTTTGAGGAGCCCTTTGGTGTCGCAAAAGGTCTTATAATACTGTACTGAAAGGAGGAAAACCATTTTTACACTTGCTAGTTTTCAGGAATTTTCACTTATCTCAATAGCATCTCAACTTAAGTTCAGCAACATGAAGTGGAAAAAGTTAATGTGCTTCATTTTGCAAGGAGCTGCACCAGCTGTTCAGGAGCACTTGGCACATGGA